CAACCTTAAAATAATATTACTATTCAAATTAGAACCACCAACACCTAAAATAAAATAAACCTGTCCAATAAATAAAAAAGGAACAAATAACAATAAAAATACCATTGGGGTAAATACCCCACCAATCATTTGATCATTTTGCAAGTGAACCGAAACAAACATCAGGATTATATATACTCCACCAACATAAACCAAAGAAAACAAAAGTGAAAATCAGCTTTTGTTACACACAAAATACATTAACACAGACATAATAATAGATTTTAACAATAAAAATAAACAACACACAACTGGATTCAACACACACCTAAACACACATAATACAAGAAAGTAGGAACAAACCAATAACGAAAACATCTATTGATAAAAGATCACAAGCAACCATAACAATAGTAAGAATATTGCACTTTTAACTTAAGTTATTTTACCCACACAAATAGTCATGATTGTTTAAATCACCTTTATTTTTGCAAAATAATGCTCTAGAGCTTATGACTAACGGATTAAAATAAATAAAAAAATAAACAATAAATCAAATAAAATCTACAAAATGTCAATGAAAACACACAAAATAAACAAAGCGTACTTTAAAGGTGTGCGGTTCTACTTTTGTTGATATATTTTCTAAATAAATTCGAAAAAATACAGCAGATAAAAACAACAAACCAATAAAAACATGAAAACCATGAAATGTTATTAAAACTAAACACGCTCCATATCATATGAGTAGACAACACAAGCTGGACATTTATTATACTCAATGACCTGTAAAATAATAAAACCAAAACCATTTATAATAGTCAACAACAATCACACCCATGATTTAACCAAAACACCAACCTTATCCACAATAAGGCTGTGAAAAAATTTTTCCTCGAAGGCCTCTATGTGTGTTTCAAATTTTGAAACACAAAATGATGACAATAATAAAACAAACACCCCCAACTACGGTATACCATATGGATCAGATATTGCATCTTCACCTAGGTCATCATTTATATAAACAATGGGAATCATTAACCTTAAAAACAATAAAAACTCACCCAAAACAAAAGTCTTATACCACGACCCTGTCATAGTTTCATCAAAACAACACCAAATTGGTGACTCTACATAAGCAACAATAATAATAGAAACACAAAAAACTAAAACAACCTTTAAAAACACCCAAAAATTTACACTAAAAAATATTGAACTCAAAATTATAATTCTTGACACACCAAGCTAACAAATTATTGGAAAAGCAGTTATCATTATAAACCCACTGACTTATTAAATAAAGAAAATAAAAATATATATTGTGATCATGAGCCACACAGTTTGTTTAACTTATTTCTTTAATGGAGTAAATAAAATTCTATATCAATGACTCCACAAGTCAACAGCTTTATTTTAGCCTATTACTCCACACAACACTTAAAACTATTGGCATATAAGAGTGGCCAGATCCAAAAAATTCCGTACAATAACCAACAAATAATCCAACACTATCGCAATTTAAGCAAACACTTTTTATGCGTCCTGGTACAGCATCCACCTTCAAATCTGCTGACGGCATGCTAAATGAATGAAGCACATCAGCAGAAGTTATATTTAAAACATAAGAATTTTTAACAAAAAGACTTAACTCGTGATCAACTGTTTTTACCAACCCATTGATATACGAATCAAACCCAACACCCAGGTGTTCTCTTTTACCACCATATGATCAATACCACTGGTGGCCAGTTATATTTATAGAACTTATGTTGTTACCACCAATACCGTTTACCATATCACGTAGGACAATCATATTTAAACAAACCAATAAAATAACAAATACACTGGCTAGAAATAGAAACCCATACTCCAACAACTCAAACCTCCCACGTCTGAATGCCTTATTTAATCCTGTTCTTCTGGCAACTATGTTTAAAAAAATATAAACAACCACCCAAACAAATATAAAAACACCCAATGCAACAACATAAACTGTCAAAATATTTGATATATGGGTGCCACTAAACGAATATACTCCAATTGACACACTCTATTAACCACATGTTCCCCTGTGGTTACCATGTTACGACTTGCTTCAACTAACATCGAAGATGACGGGCGATGTGTGCCCCAATTAAACCCCATTCTCATAAACACAATATCTTATAATACTATTGAGTCCTAAAACCCCACAACATAACAGTGTGGGGGCTTTTAATGTAATGCATGATACCTCCTAAGTGGGCAGCATATTGACCTGGATTCAAACAAATCAAATTTTACAAAAACCATATGGTTTTTGTAGCTAAACCGGATATACACCAACTAATAATAGGAATAAATTATCTAGTGGAACATCTATCAAATCGCACATTCCCCCAACGGGATATCATCGGCTGCCAAATTCTTTCAGTTAGAACTGAGACTATAC